CCGGTCATTTCTCTTTATTTGGATAAATCTTTCAAAATGAAGTTTGCAACTTACAATTTTGAGTTCTTAAGTGAAAATCTTTACTTTTGACTGACAGTAATATGAGCAATGGCCTTCATCACAGAAAGAATTAACATGGGACTTTTCTGCTTTATCTCTTGTGGCAGGAATGCAGTGCAGAGCAATTAAAGGTCATCCGCAGTGATGGAACCAATGACCGTTTCCTCTTCTTCCTCAGGGAGACAGGAGTGAATGTTAAGACGTTTGAATCCGTTAAGTGCCGCGGCTGGTTCATCAGCACATCCTATGAGAAGGAGGAGAAGCCTGTGGAGATGTGTAAAGTTGACTCTGTCTCTCGTGTCTTCTCATTCAAAACCAGCTAAAATCACTCATGCTATCAGAGCCTTCTGCAGTTTGAATGTAACCAGAAATATGCTTTGGGTGCTTTTTTCTTAACTTTGTTGTCCCTGACCACTAGATGGAGCAATCGCCTCGCTTTTGATAGTGTTCTAAGAGACAGAGGTAGCTATTCAACCAGTATAACCCACTATATCTTTTTTTACTCACTGGGGAACTGCTGTTTAAAGGTTTCTCTTCTTTTCTGGAGAATGTTGTAATAGGATATTCCTGGCAACTACTAATATATATTATTCTGCTTCTATGATAAATGTTTGTAACATATCAGTGAACATATCAGAGCCTTGTGTGGGTGCTTCTTATGAGAACTGTGCATCATAGCAACTTAGTGAGTGTAAGTTTAACCAAGCCTTGATGTTTCACAATGCACATGGGACCCAGAGATTGACAGAGGTACGGACCGACAGACAGAAAGTGATTAGTATAAAGCTGTTAGATAAGATCAAATGAAGCAAATATAAAAACAGCTGTTTTTCAGACTGCAGTGTGAGCTAAAAAAAACAAACAACTGAATGCCAATGAAGTCAGATTTGTATAGATTTTTAAACTGGGAGAATTGTTTGTAGGAGAGTTGTTTTCACCTGTATGTGCGAAATAATTAATAAAGTAATATCATGTATATCCTACAGCAATCTAGAAGAAGAGTGTATTCATCTCCTAATGCCTAACAGTCTCCTTATGAAACCGTATTTAAATGTACCCTGGATTTTTATTTGTATCTACACCAATTTGAGCACATTCCTAAATATCAGTCCCTTAACCCTGATTTTTTTCATCAAGATCCATCAATTATCATCTGAGAAATTGAAATTGAAAAATGTACATGGATCAGCAACAATCCCCTAAATCAAAAAATAGGTATTAACAAGAAGCACATTAACAAGTGACTATTGCTATTTGCAAGAAGGACATTAAACATCATGTCAAGTTTGTTATAAAAGAAAAATTTGAAATTGATGCCACTTTTTTGACGACCAATGCCTCATGAAAACATCCTGGTTTATTATGAGTCAATCAAAACTTCTAAAAAAGGGGAAAATATACAGAAACCTCAAAGAAAGTCACACATGAGCAATCCCTCCCCCAGGACGAACTGAGGGGCAGCAGTGTAACAGAAAACATCAACAAAATAATAAGTTCTGTACCTTGTGACTTCACCATCCCGTCAACTTGGGTTAGGGGTTAGGGTTACATGTGCAACACTAGAACATTCATGTATACAATAAAACTGCTATCGTCAGAGCTCAACTTAATGTATGTACCAGTTCTCCTTTATCCATTTTTATATGTTTTATATGTATAGTCTATGGTCTTGATAGTTATTGTTTGTAAGAACCGATTCTACAATGAATAAAATGTCAGAAAAATCATTATTCCCAGAGTCTCTGAAGAGTTTTCTCAAAAAAATTGAGAAACATAAACATTTGAGAAGCTGGTAGCAGTTTTCTTTTTTTTACTGGCATTTTTGCTTTAAAATATGTGAATGACAGATAAATTATCAGAATCATTGTCAATACATTTTTCTGTGATTCAACTAATTGATTCAATAAATATCCGTCATTCCAGCCCTCGGGCATTGATATGATCTGCTGCAGTCAGGGACCACTGCCCACAAATTAAACTCCAGGGTGGCATCATGGCGAACAGGCTCCTGACAAGCCTCCTCTATTAGTCTTTTTTATAGGGAGTGAAAATAATATCTTTTATAAGCTTTATAAATGTAAATAGGATTTTGTGAATGAATAAAAAATTATGGAATAATTGTGTAAAACAATCTAAATTCCAATTTTTACATTTCTGTGCACAGATTCACACACTCAAGTGCAAATCTAGAATACATCTACTCAATCTGTGCATTTACCAGTCTCATCCTGTGGATAGAAACCCACACAAAGACACATACAGATTTACTTTTGTACTACTGTTGCTTTTTTATCAAGATCTACAAATGTAAGTGCACACTGGTTTGTTTCACAAGCACAAAGCCTGTGCTGTGAGACAGATCTTTGTGCATTTGGCTGTTACTATGAATCAGCTAAATGCACGTATGTATGAAAACCTGGAATAAAAGAGAGAACGAATATTTCTGCAATGATCGCTCATTGATCAACAAGTTAAAGATAGAGTGTCCATCTCAGTCAGAAAGTTATACAAGTGCAAAAGACGATGAGACAGATGAAGCTCATGACTTTCCTTTAAATAATTTCTACAACTTAATTTATCTAAATATGGTTTGTTTGGTCTGATGTGTCTTATTGTGATTTTATAACTTCATGTGAAACCACTTTACCTCTCTCATATCTGCAGGATGATATGAAGCTACAACAGTCTTAGCAGTGCTTAGCACCAGGATAGGAAATAGGGGGAAACAGCGAGCCTGGGTCTGTCTGAAGATCATGATTGTGGACTCCGCAGAGACTCTAGGAAGTCAAGTGTGTGCCTTGCTTACTGTAACATAATACATCAGTCCTGCAATATATACTCCCTCATAGAGGTTATATAACAACATACACCAAACAATAACATGCTATAAACAAAACAGAAATAGAAAATCCTGTCATTTGATAAAAAAATTAATAAAAGCTGTAAAAATAAATGCATTTGCACATGTTATTTTGATAGCAGCATGAAAGTATAACCAGGAAGATGTACTTAAAGTATCAAAAGTACTTGGCCCCTTTGACAGTACAATATCTCAACTGATACATGATGCCATTTTATATTATATCATTATTACACAGGCGTTGAGGTTTATACTGCCCGTCACTGTATTTTATAATAGAGCTACAGCTGTTGATTTTCATTATGGGTCACTCTGCTGCTTATTCTCCTTAAGACCCATAGAGTCATCCTGGTCCTCAGGTCCTGGTTCAGTCTCCCTCTGGTAGTCTAATCTGAAAACTCTGTTGAGTGTTTTACCTTTTCTCAAACACGTTTGATTGTCTTTGTTTGAATTATGTATTCAGATGCTTTTTTTAATGCATATTTTCATTTGCTCTTGTGAAGTACTTTGTAAACCTGGTTATGGCAGCCATCCATTCTGCCTACTGCTTACACACCTTGAACAGGTCACCAGTCCATCACAGGCCCAACATACAGAAAAAAGTCTCCAGCTAAACTAAGCTGCTCGTCATTGTGGGAGGATACCTGAGAAAACCCACATGCAAACTCCACATAGAGAGATCTTGGTGTCAGATTCAAACCCAGAACATTGATGCTGTGATACGACCGTGCTGCCCTGGTGCCCACTGTGATATATCAAACTACTAATTCCAATAACATTTGTCTGTCTTTATATCTGTGGGATGCATATTTGGAATTTTTTCATTAAGGTCATGGGACATGCGACCACAGCTCTAGTCAAACCACTGGTAAAAACACATTGACATGCAATGTAGGAAAACAATGACACAAGTTAATCATTCAAACTTATGTATGAGCCATTTAAATGAACAGTAATAATGCAAATTCAGTTTCATTTTGGGAAAAACATTGATTACAGAATCCTCATTGCAGATAAATGATGGAGGATGAACACGTTATCGAACTTCACTCTGCAAACTGTTTTTTAAAAGCTCTGCACACAAACAATAAAAAGTGACAGTATATTGTAGAACTGTTTAAGGAGGATTCACTAATGACAAGGAATAATTTTAAGCAGTTATTAACACAGGACAAGAGAAGAGAACATTCTAAACAGGCAGGTTTAGAAAAGACACTGCACCAATAAATGAAAATGTTATCACTGATTTCCAGAAAAATGGGAAACTAGCAAATATTCACATTTAAGAAGCTGGAGCAAGTTAATTTGTGGAACTATTACTTAAAGGTCCAGTGTGTAAGACTTAGGTGAAAGGGAACTATTGGCAGAAATGTAATGTAGAATAATCCTCATGATGTTTTCACTAGTTCAGTTTTCTTTACCCCAGAAAAGGCCCTTTATATTTAAATACTTTATATTTACATTGAGGGGGTCCTCTCTTCAGCGGCCGCCATGTTTTTTACACTGGTCCAGACTGGACAAACTAAACACCTTTTGAGTTTTCATGACAACTGAAAACTACCACAGGTTCTCTGTCATGTTTGGAAGGAGAGGGTGAGGTGAGGGGTGTTCATCTGCAACATACATTTTCAACACTAGATATCACACAATTCTAAACACTGTACCTTTAAAAAAGACACCAGTGTTTAAATCAATCAACTAATCATCAGCTCTAGAGTACTTTGGTTGGGTGCCAGATAATGAAATAATGAAGGGCAGTAAAAAGTGATTCCTGTCTGAATAGCAGTGAAGTGCAGAAGAAGTGTCATGACATGGAAATACTCACATACTGTACAGACACATTATTATACTACCTAAAGCAAATATAGCTACTTATGCATCACTACATTTGAAGCATTGTTTTATTTATTGTTCATCTACCAGAGGCACACACATACATAACAGCCTGTAATCTGAATTTCACAGCACTCACCAAATTAAATGTCATTCTGTTCTTACCCTTCACAATAGTGGGTTTATAGAACCTCAGCCAATCACAGCAGTCCAGAGGAAGTTGACTTGCTCTCATTGGTACAGCCTGGGCAGGTTTGCATGGTGACACCTTCGGCTATAACTTGACTGACAACACAGCAACCAGAGATGCCGAGCTCTGCTGTGTAGCTCTGCTCAATGTCGTGGGTCCGCAAAGCAGATTACTGTGTGATGTGTGTTTAACTTTAAAGAGGCAAATAGCACAAAGGTCAAGAAGACAAATATTTCAAAGCATGTATGGACGGGGGTATTCCATCGTTTATTCTCATGGCTCCATCCTCCTGCTGCACATACACACACACACATACAGTATATCTCTTAGAGGATCCTTTCTTACTTATTCATTCAGATACTTTCTACTGAAGTGTAGATGTCAATGTCATTTACCAGTTTGTCTATGCAGCACAAATGTCTTTGCAAGTGATTGGCTAAGACAAAAAATAAATCACGTGTCAGTATGTGGGACAGAAAGCAGAAGATTCAGCTTTATGTGTGTGAGTGCATGAATAGAAGCAAATATCGCATAGATGACCTCATATCTAAAAAATGACATAAGTAAAGTAGGAAATGCAGATGATCTCATCTCTGAAATCATGAGAAACCTTAAATAATATCCTTGGAACAGGCTCGTTGATTTGCACACACACGTGCAATGTAGTGAACCTATTGTGTGTGGGCATATGATTGAGTGTGTGTGTGTGTGTGTGTCTCCCTCTGCCATGCACATTCTCAGCACATGGCAACAGAAGCTAAATATAGCTCAGCAGCGCGGCTTCACAGTGGGATCATGCTTCCTCTAACGTAGGATCGCTCCCTGCTGCTGTCCCTCTTTCTCTGCTTCACACAAACACGGGTTCCCCTCGTGCACCTCTCACCCTCCCTTCTTCCTGCTTTTCTTTCTGTCTTACCGTTCCTTCTTCACGCCATCAAAGCCAGTTTTGGCATTAAATTTGAAGACGTTGCTGAGATTTGATGCCCATTAGATAAATACCCTGTTTTGGGAGGTCACAGTGACTCTTGAGCTTTGCCCACAAAATTTTATTCAGGTCAGCCTTCGGTCAAAGTTGAAGTTTCTGCCAAATTTTAAAGAATTCCCTCAAGTTGTTCCTGAGATATTACACTCACAGGGCTAAATATGTGTTGTGAGGTCTCAGTGACATTTGGC